TTTCCTCTTCCTTTCATTTGCCGTGTACAAACCCCGAGTCCTTAACTTGCAATTGCCCTACATTTTTTTTTCCATTAACCAAATCAATTTAAAGAATATAAATTTGCACTTTCCTTTCGATTTCTTAACACTAATTACAATTTTTATTATCTCACAACCTCGTATTTAAAATATCAAACATTATATTTGAGCATAATAATCTTCAATTATGTGTTATTAAGTTTAATAATCAAGCATAAATTAACTAACTTTGCCTCTTTGGCATCCATCTTTTGCTCTGCAATCTTTTAACTATATATGTACTCTAGTGAAAATGAGCACCAGTTTTGCAAAGGGTACCTATAGAGATCCTTTGGGCTTCATAAGTGGCAAAGGGTACCTATAGAGATCCTTATTTCTTTCAAAAGAGCTGGCGTTAAGTCTTGGAAAATCACTGCTTATGTTCCCTAAAGAAGCCAAAATGGGACTAGAAAGCTTATTTAATGAAACATCAAAAGCATACAGGTGTATAGGAGATCCAATTGCAAGGAATTTACCCAAAAAGCAAATTGTCATGAAGATTCTATGACGTTTAGGTAAGCGCACAATGCAAGCTGGAAAGATCTCACGGTCAAGTTGATTGTGGGAGAGATTCAAAATTGCTAGATTGACCAAGTATTACAAATCTTGGGGGATGGGTTTGGAGATTAAGTTGGAGGAGAAGTCAAGGGATTGAAGATTGGTATAGTTTGGGAGAAAAGGAGAAATGTACCTTGGTGAAAGAAACTAGAGAGAGAAAGCTTATAGATGCAACCATCTTTATAGGTGGCACGGGGGTAAAGTGAAGGTGAATCTGTTGTAAGGGGTAGCAAAGTTAGATTTGGTCTAGTTTTAAAGATTCTTCGGTGGGTTTTTGAAGGAAAGTGTGAATTTATCTTCTTCGAATTGATTAGGTTAATGGAGAAAAAAGTAGGGCAATTGTAGGTTAAGGAGTTATGATTTACATAAGGCAAAGGAAAGGAAGAGGAAGGAGAAAGAGAAAGAGGAAGAAAAGAAAAAATGAAAAAGAAAAGGGGACATTAAATTTTTTTTTCTCCCATCTCGTTCTTTTTACCATGCATGCTCTCAATCCTACATGTAAAAAATTTTGGTACATGTCATTCTTCTCATCAAGTAAGCAGTCACATTAGTCTATTGAAATCCTGCCAAACTAATGTCAAAGGAAGTTGTTAGAAGGGAAGGGATTGTGCTGCATTGCAACTGTCTAGTTGTTAACACTTTAACATTTAATTACTTTAATACCTTATTTAGTTATAAATTAATGATACTTCACTTTGCATGCGTCACATTAATAAATTTTTAATAGAGGAATAGAAAAGGACTAAATTTTTAAAACCAAAATAGAATTTTTTTTTAAAGTTTAAGAATTAATTCCAAAGCGTATACAATAGTTGAAGACTCAAATTGTGAGTTTATCTTTTAGTTCTATATAAAAAAATGAGGATTTGAGATCCCTTCCATCAACCACCATTAAGGTCCCCTTAATTTTTCTTTTTCTTTTTCCTTTTTGGTTAAGTCCATGTTAACAAACTTTGTTAAATTGAAAAAATATGCAATAAGCCCTTCAAATAATTTTCACTAACAATTTTTTTAGTAATTTCTATCATAATTGAGATGTCTCATTTAACTTATATGTGAAATTTTATTCTCTTTTTAAATATAATAAATATAATGAAATTTTTTGTAAATAATTAAAATTTAAATAATAGAATAAGAACATATATGTAATTTATAATTAACATTAATTTAG